CATTTCCATTTTCGGAGGAGTTAAAGGATTTGCAAGACTAATAAAAGTTGTAGGGACTAGGTGTCCTGCACTATACATATGGGCCAATTTGTTCGATTGACGCCCTGTGATATCTAAATGTAGATCAATTTTCTATGTTTTTTATATAAAAAACTGCGTACCGCCATATTTCACCGCACACATGCGTATAACTCACATAACAGTCACACTTGTGCACCTAAGCAAACTTGTTCATCTATATTCATATTACTCACTACTTTGGTAATCCCATTTCAAAATAGACTGGTCAAGAATAATCCCATTTTGAAGATTAGTATATTTTTTTAGTTAGGACACTATATTGACTTCTAAAAATGAGAAAAACAAAAAAGCAAGAAAGAATTTGTCATTTATGTCATAATACCCAATCAACAAAGTGGAGAAGGGTAACTGAAGATGCCTTGATCAAATGTAAAGATAATGGTATTAGGTTAGAAGTTGGCAAGTATCTATGTAATATTTGCTATGCACAATATATTTCAAACTTTATTTATAATTATGGTATATAACAAAAAAAAAAAAAAAACTTTTTTCATTCCTTACCATCTTCTATGAGTCCTAATCCATCTACCAACTCTTCTGCTAATGCAAGTTTATCCTCTAACTTTTCCAACAACAACTCAACCAAGTTAAAGTCTTTAATGATTTAAGTTCAACATCACAGAAAAATGAAAGGCTAAAAAAGTTGGAAAGGAAATATATTATAATGCAAAAGAAGTATTACAAAATTCTAATATGACTTCTTTTAATCTGAAAAAAATTACTTTAGAAATTGATAATATAGATTATGAGATAGATTTTATGAATTCCAACATTACTGATGGTAACTTAATATTAAGGCAAGATGCTGTTGTGCGTTCATGTGATGAAGCAATGATTTCTAGGGATGCATATAGATCACTTTCAAAAAATTACCCAGAGTTAGAAAGGTATTATAAAATAGAATAGGCGTCAAGTAATCCAAAACATCATCAATAACTTAGTTCCAATTAATATATTTAATATCAATGATAATGATGAAAATGTTGAATCAAGTGATGGAGCCTATCATTCAATTATACACATATTAAATATTATAATTCCTTTATTAAAATCTTCAAAAACATTTAATTTATTTAATTATACATTAAAAATCAAATTAAGTGGTGATGGTCATTTGGTTGGAAAAGTTCAGAGCCAAGTTATATTGACATTCTGTCTACTAAATGAAAGTGAAGATGTCTTAAAACCAAGCCATCAATATTGGTAAATTTTTTATTTTTATTTATTTATTTATCTATAATCCATTAATTATTAATATTAATTACATATAATTTTTATTATTATTAATTATAGTATATGTATTTATATTGGAAAGGAAAATAAAACTTCTTTAGAATATTGCTGGTCATTATTTAATGAAGAACTTTCTAATTTGAAAACAAATGGATATATTGATCCAGAAAATACCTATTGGAACGTTGAATTTTTTATGTCTGCAGATTGGAAATTCATTGATATTTTTTTTTGACATTTGGAATTTTTATCATATGTTTACAGGTCATGTCACTAGTGCTGGTAATCAATTGTATTTTTTTTATTGGAGATAAAATAAATAAAATAATAGAATAATAAAATGTCTATTTATCTGTTTTAATTTAAGTAATAGCATTTTTTTTTTCATCATTTGGGTGGGCAACTGTTGGAGGATCTTTATGCCTTAGACCAACATTTTTAACAAAATGTCAACCAGATCCATCATTAACAGCAAATGCTTCGTCAGGTCAATATTTTACAAATGATGTTTGTACAGGAGAATTAGAAAGTACTGAATTTCAAGGGTAAACTAAACTAATTAATTAACTAATCAATTAATTCGCAGTTAATCAATCAGTGATGATTTTTTTAATTATTTATTTACAACTTTGTTTTAATTAATTAATTTATCATTATTTTGTTAATCATTATTATTATAAAGATTTCCAAGTGGACATTCAACAACCGCGTTTGGTGGATGGGTTTTCTTCATATTATATATAAATGGTAAAGCAAAGGTAAATGATATATAGTCATCATGGATAATATTGAATTATCCATTTATTTATTTATTTATTTATTTAGCCATGGGCGGGTGGTTCACATTTGTGGAAAGTAAGTCATCATGCAGTTTTATTCTCTCTGTAATATTTAATTTTTAATAAATTGATGGAATCGAATAACAACTACACTCAATTTAGGTTTTAATTTTATGCCTTCCATTATTATTTGCATCATGGGTTTCAATTACAAGAATAAATGATTTCAGTCATTTTCCATTTCAAGTTATAACAGGTGTAATTCTAGGAATTTTTTCAGGTTTAATATCTTATAGATTACATTTTGGTAATTCAGATTGGTTTATCGGAAATGGGAATTATCTGGATCATATACCTGCACACTATAAATTTATAGAAGATTGGAATAGTGAAGATGAGGATGAGGAGAGAGGAAATAGTAGAAATGGAAATGTTGCAAGAGAAGTTGATAATGAAGCTATTGGTCATAATAATAACAATAATGTTCTTGACAATAATGATAATCGAGTAATTGAAATGGGTTTATTAAATAATAAAAATGATGCCAATACCAATTATAACAGTAATATTAATAAAACAATAATGTTGCGATAAATGTCAATAACGAATAATTAATTATGCAAACTACACTCGATAAATTTAAAGCTATAATTAATAAACATTTTTTATACAGACATTATATGCCTTTTACTTATTCCCATTTACTTTTTAAATTGATTATGACTTTTTATTCTACAAATATATTAATTATACGTGACAATAACTTTTATCTCATGACTTTGATTGCCACATGCCTTTAATGAATAAATTTTTTTAACTAAAAGAGATGATGGTATTAATTATTAATGAAAAAAAAAAAAAAACTCAATATCCAAGGCTCATGGGAATACGTTAAACTCAAAAGGTATTTTTATTTGGGATAGACAGGCTGCAACAAAACCAGACAAACTGAACATAACATCACAAAGGTTCAAAGTGATTGAAATTTGCTAGATCAGAATGCTATTCAATAGTATAAACCGATCATTTGATCCAAGAGTATCTACCGGGTAAAGGTCTATTTTTCTCTTCGATTTTGTTTCTACTTTCCTAAATGATGTATGAAATGGAGCTCAAGAATTACAACACTATAAGAATTATTTTAAAAAAAGAACAAGGTGAGAAAATCTCCCCTTATGTTTTCAAAATAAATAACACCCAAATGCTTGAAGATTATCAAAGAAAAGAGAAAATTATTGCCTATGAAGAAGAAAGAAAAATATAAACACACGGAAAAGAATGCAGAATAAAACTGAGCAGCAATTACCCAATAATCCTTATTAATATGAATTTCCGACAGCTTTATCAGCATGGCCGGAAGTGCTAATATTTTCTTGCATAATAGCCCCAAAAGCCAGAAAATTGTAATTATTTTTAATCAAATAATGTCTTCATTTGTTTGATTAAACAAATCCACACCTTGTCTGTTACTATCAAGTCTTTTAACGCGATATTGGTAGGTAATAACAACTTTAAAGTGAAAAAGCACCACTACTTTTAAATAGCCATAGCTTTGTATAGGGTGCGTTCTCAGATATAAAAATATATGGTTAGAAAGCTTAAATGGTGTAGTTTCTTTTATCTTAATAGTGAAGTTCAAGTTTATTATTAGAAAGGCGAGATATTTTTAAATCTGATTTGAAATTTTAATTTCACATATTACACTCTCTGTGACATGTCCCACGACTGCTATTGTTTTTTTTTGTCGACGCGAATTGATATTTTTTTTCTTGGAAAAACAATTTATTTTTTGACAGAGTCCAAGGTGACAAAACGTGAGTGTTGTTGTTTGGGTCTCCTAAAGAAAAAGTGTTAATAACTAACCAGAGATTCTATTTCTTACTCGTATTTTTATAAATATTTTAATTGGAAATTAAAACGCGGAGCAGATCTTGCTGGGTAATTATAAGATCCTTATCAACAACGAACAATTGGCATTTTGTTTTTTGTAATAGAAGATGTCAAGGCAATACACTATTAAAAAAGAAACAATTCAAATATGCAATGTTTGATTATCGGAAATTAGCAGGCGTTGAAGCATGCATGCTGCCTTGAACATTTATAGTCATTCTCTCACATCTTCCTCGAGTACACGAGGCTAATATGACCGTGGCTCTCCGATCATACAATGATGCTATCAGAATTTTGAGGGGGGGTGTATGGCCCTGGGGTTTACCAAGACTGCATCAATTGTCAAGGACGCTTTCATTAATCTTCCCTCACCAGAAGAAGGCTGCTGGCATGCTAGCCAAAAAATTGTAAAATAGTGTTTGTTTTGTATAATCATTTTCATAAATTCTCTGTTTCTCTGATACTAACCAATTTATAATTTGGGTAGGGGACTGGATGGGTTTTTGCCCAATCAGTCCCTTGTCCTATAGATTAAAATTATATACATCTTTGTCTGCAATATGGCTAACAAGAAAAAGAAAAAAGTTATAAAATGGGTTGGATTTTGTTTGGTGTGTTATAAATTAATCACTCACAAATTCTCTGTTTCTCTTTAATTTTTATTTGACAACTGAATTTGTTGTTATTTTAAATGGGAACTTTTGCTGATATAACCTCCCACCCTAGGTTAAAGGATTGTAGCTCAATTAGAGCATGTATCTTACAAGTATAAAGGTGGCAGTTTGATTCTGCCCACTCCTATTGTGATAGTCACCATGATCACTGGCATCAAGGAGAAAGCTGTAAAATAAAATGGTTTGGATTTTGTTTGGTATGTTATAAATTAATCATTTTCCCAAATTTTCTGCTTCTCTTTAATTTTTATTTGACCAACTGAACTTGTTATTTAAATAAATGGGGTATGGTTGTTGGTGAGTAGGCATGCCACTGACAATACAGGTGATGCCTTTGAGATATACCAGCCAAACTCATAGAAAGGGATCTTTTGTCCAGACTTAGGGTCACATGGATGTTAAGCACAGAAAATGTACACTATCAATGTATATTTTTTTCAACAAAATAAACATTTAAATAATTAATTGTTAAATATTAATACTTTTCTTTCCATAAAAATTACAGCAGCCCAGGTCCCAAAACTCTGAATTCAGGGAAAATCCAAAACAGCAATCCAGGTTGCAACCTTCTGAATTGCAGAATTTTCAACCAGTTGCAGGTGCCAACTTTATTCTAGTGAGAGGGGTATAACACAAAGCAAATGTCATACAAGCACCAGCTATCAGTAATTAATGCCCATATGGAAACAGCCAAGCCTGGTCTGAGAGGAAGATAAGGGAAAGTTTTGTCCAAAGCCTTCCAACATGTGTGCGGCTCACCTGTGGAAAAGAATCCACAGTTATTGGGGAATGTGAAAGCATGGTTATTGCATGTTTGTAACAGGATATTTTAATTAAATCTGACACCTGTGATCAACATCAGATTTATTATTCATAAGGAACCATTATTGATAATCAGGAAAAATAATTTATTTTGTAAACCCCCAGAGATCTGGGTAGACAGGCATTGTTAAGAGTTTTGTTTATGCATTGCCTTGGTGTTATTACTACCTGGGTGATGCAATTGTTTGTTATGTCAATTATAACATCAAATGTATTGAATAATAACTATGACCATATGAATATTTGTTGGATGGAAGCATTCACATACAAGGAAATGATTGAATAACTAAGTCATGTTTGTTTTGTTAAAGACATATGATTAATTATATTTTAAATATACAATAAAAAAATTGCATGAAATCCAAGATTGCACCACTATGTCAATCAAGCTATCATGTTTGTACATTTAAAATTCTTTTATGCTCCCACCTTCCTTTGCTTATATATAATCCATTGGTTCTCTTTTTACTGGTCAAATGATGCCAAATTAAGTAATGGGGTATCAGCAAATATCAGAATCAGATTATTCTTTAAAAAAATAATCAAGATATTAGCATACAGTCAAACCCTTGTTTCAACGGATTTTTGGTTTTACCCCTTGATTTTATTAATTAAAAAATTCTCATTTCAATGGATTTTATATTTAATGGGATTTTTGGTTTTACTACTTGATTTTAGGACATGTCACATGACTATTATATTATTGTTATATTACTTTATTATTTATTATATTATTATTATTCATATTATTTTTTTTATGTATATCAGTTACAAATTAAGTTCCTTACACCTAAGGTTTCTGGTCGAAACTGCTTCCATTAGTAGCCGAAATTGCCTAAATACTTTGGGCAAAAATTATTTTTTTATAAGCCCAAACTACTTTTAGTTATTAGCCGAAATTGGGCGAAATTATTTTAAAGTTGTTTAAGTTAAAACAAGTTGATTCATATAGTTTTTTAATGTTCATGCTTATAGAAAATGTTGAGAAGCCCAAATTGCCCAAACTAGTTTGGGCTTTGAGAAAACAGTTTGGACCAGAAACCTTACCTGTGATATCTAAATGTAGATCAATTTTCTATGTTCTTTATATAGAAAACTGCATACCACCACATTTCACCACACATGCGTATAACTCACATAACAGTTGCACTTGTGCACCTAAGCAAACTTGTTCATCTATATTCATATTACTCACTACTTTGGTAATCCCATTTCAAAATAGACTGGTCAAGAATAATCACATTTTGAAGATTAGTACATTTTTTAGTTAGGACACTATATTGACTTCTAAAAATGAGAAAAACAAAAGAGCAAGAAAGAATGTCATTTATGTCATAATACCCAATCAACAAAGTGGAGAAGGGTAACTGAAGATGCCTTGATCAAATGTAAAGATAATGGTATTAGGTTAGAAGTTGGCAAGTATCTATGTAATATTTGCTATGCACAATATATTTCAAACTTTATTTATAATTATGGTAACAAAAAAAAAAAAAACTTTTTTCATTCCTTACCATCTTCTATGAGTCCTAATCCATCCACCAACTCTTCTGCTAATGCAAGTTTATCCTCTAACTTTTCTAACAACAACTCAACCAAGTTAAAGTCTTTTAATGATTTAAGTTCAACATCACAGAAAAATGAAAGGCTAAAAAAAGTTGGAAAGGAAATATATTATAATGCAAAAGAAGTATTACAAAATTCTAATATAACTTCTTTTAATCTGAAAAAAATTACTTTAGAAATTGATAATATAGATTATGAGATAGATTTTATGAATTCCAACATTACTGATAGTAACTTAATATTAAGGCAAGATGCTGTTGTGCGTTCATGTGATGAAGCAATGATTTCTAGGGATGCATATAGATCACTTTCAAAAAATTACCCAGATTTAGAAAGGTATTATAAAATAGAATATAGGCGTCAAGTAATCCAAAACATCATCAATAACTTAGTTCCAATTAATATATTTAATATCAATGATAATGATGAAAATGTTGAATCAAGTGATGGAGCCTATCATTCAATTATACACATATTAAATATTATAATTCCTTTATTAAAATCTTCAAAAACATTTAATTTATTTAATTATACATTAAAAATCAAATTAAGTGGTGATGGTCATTTGGTTGGAAAAGTTCAGAGCCAAGTTATATTGACATTCTGTCTACTAAATGAAAGTGAAGATGTCTTAAAACCAAGCCATCAATATTGGTAAATTTTTTATTTTTATTTATTTATTTATCTATAATCCATTAATTATTAATATTAATTACATATAATTTTTATGATTATTAATTATAGTATATGTATTTATATTGGAAAGGAAAATAAAACTTCTTTAGAATATTGCTGGTCATTATTTAATGAAGAACTTTCTAATTTGAAAACAAATGGATATATTGATCCAGAAAATACCTATTGGAACGTTGAATTTTTTATGTCTGCAGATTGGAAATTCATGCAATTGGTTCGTGGTATTAAGGCTCCTACAGCTGAGTATTTTTGTCTTTATTGCAATTGTTCTAAATCACAAAGAGCAAATATGGAGCTCCAGTGGAGTAATGATTATAACTCAAAAACTAAAAGTAATTATTTAAATTTTATATGTAGAAAAAAATAACTAAATCAGGAAAATGGTGTTGTATATTATATTTATGCATATCCATGCCAATGCAGGTGATTTACATATAAAATATGCCAAACAGCATGTATAAAGTTCATATACATACATATATTATATTTGAATCACCTACATTTGTGCAGGGTATGCATAACCCATTTTTCTGATGTATATATTATATTATTTACATTTATTTATTTTCAAAAGGTTATAATTACTATTGCCTATTACCACTTGTTGATTATAAAAACTGGATACCAGATGAGCTCCATTTAATGCTAAGGATAAGTGATATTTTATTTGAATCTTTGTTTTATGATCTTAATCGTAACCCAAAAAAATTTGAAAAAGAAATTTCTAATCAAATAATTTTAGAAGCCAAAAGAATTGGAATTTCTAAATTTGAATTTTTTGATCTAAAAAGTTCAAAATTTAAATGGACAGGTTTAAATGGCACTCAAAAGTTAACATTTTTAGAAAATTTTCAGGCTTCTAAATTTTACAATGATGGAAAAGGAATAAAAATAGAAAATCTATGGAAGGAATTTATTAGATTATATAGGTTAATAAGAAGGTCTCTTTTAAGCGATCATGAAATAGATAATTTTCAAAATGACACAAAACAATGGATTCAAAACTTTTCAGAAATTTATCGTAAAGAAGATGTTTCACCATATATGCATGTGCTCTCCATGCATATACCACAGTTCATTAGAGATTTGAAAAGGCAAGAATTATCCTTGCTTCTATTTTCATCTTCCAGTGTTGAAAAAAAGAACCATCATCATGTTAAATTATTTTACGGTAAAACTTGTATGGGTGGTGGCCAAAAAAAAGAACAATCAGTAGTTTATGATCTCTTAAATTTTGAAAATAGACAACTATATTATTTAAAATACAACATTCCTCTTTTGTTTAAGAAAAAGAATATTAAAATAGATTTAAGTGAAAATAATTAGTTGCAACTAGAATGACAAACACATATGGATATTGTACATTGATATGAGGTATTTGATTTTTCTTGCCCAGGAAAAAATAATCACAAATGAAAATAATTTTAATTTTTTTTAATTTGAATTTACATTAAATTCCACCTTACAAAACCCACACTTCATATTATTTAAAAATTTTTCTTTCCAAATAAATTTAATTTCTGGCTTCACAACTCCATCTTCTTCCATTACAATAAAAGAAATTGTTCCAGTTGTGATATTTATTTTTTTCCACCATTCATCATTGTTTAATATTGAACTAAGATCATTTCTCCCATCAGTATTTTTAAATATACAAATATAACATCTTTTTGCTGGTGAATAAGAAAAATTATTTTGTGAAGAAAAAAGGTTTGCAAAAATGTTTTCTGGAAAAGGTTCTAACACAAATCTTTTAAACCCTACACTATGTCAACTAAATCCTAACTTATTTTGTATATTAATTATAATGCATTGTTTTAAAATCTCAACATCATCAGGTGATGATAAAATGGGAAAGTGTGGAACTAATTTATTAAATTTGTGAAATTTGTTTTCATGGTTTTTTAGAGTAGCTTTTGACCTTAATGATTTTCCACATAAAGTACAAGTATAATTGTTATAGTGTTGTGATGGTGGTGTGATTAATATTGATGATTGTGATGATGATGATGCTGTTGGCGTTAATGTTGATGATGTTGATGTTAATTGTAGTGTAGTTTCTGAACAAGAAGATGATGTAGGTTGACTTTCTGGATTTGGAATAATTTTTGTTATGTTTGAATGTGAAATTATTTTTGATGGAGACATACCTACAGTATTTATTTATTAAGTTAAGCTATTTATTAATTAAATCATAAAGTCAGATTATAATATCCAACAACCAAAAAAACCTGTTTCTGGTTTTCACTCAATATATTGTCATTGAAATTATATTGTCATAGTAGCAAAACGTTTATTATTATTATTTATTGTAGTTGAATTGAACCTTGCTCAACAACGTTTATTTTTTCATAAAAATAACTGTGTAACGACCACGCGTGATATTTAAACATTTTGATCTGCAGATCAAACAAATCGGCCCTGTATGAATATTATTTTAGTATTCAATATTGTAAACATTAATTCAACATAAAATAATTTTTATATATAATTATTCTCTGCACAAACAATCATCCTCTTTAGAGTTGGAAAATGGAGGCTGAAAAATTAAAATTAGAAGTAAGAACGTTAAAAAAAAAATTAAAAAAATTAGAGAAAGATACAGGTAAAGATCTCCAATGTAAATGTTGGGTTATACATTGAAGGCTGATAAGTATTCTAGTTATTATAAAAAATGTCAATCATTCACTGATTTATAGGCGAATCACCAATATAAAAAAAATTATTTTCCATTCATTCCATTTCGTTTATTTATTTATTTACCATTTATGACTAACTTATGCTTTTCTTTATTCTTTTTTCTTCATAACTCATATCATATTTTCATTCTCTTTATTGAAAATATTATCCGGGCTTTTTTTTTTTTTTTGAATACAGTTGAGCACAAAAAAATTGGTAAGTTGATAAGTTGATTTACTGCCAATTTGTTGAGATTTAACTTAATCAAGTTATTTTTATCAGAATTAGATTTATCAGAGGAATATCTTAAAATGATGGATAAAAACATGTCAAGTCCTTCCAAGTGGGCAAATGAATGGACTAAAGATAGTAAGCAGAAGGATGGACTTCGATTCCGTAATCATCGACCAGCAAATGCATCAGATATTCCGGTTCAATTTTACCATCAGATATTTGAAGAATTTATCAAACTTAGAAAGGATTGTCAAGTATCAAAGAGGGAACATGAACTTGTACTTGAACTGGCATCTGTGATGTCCTGAGTATTTTCAGATGAAGATGAAAGGGCAAATGCTTTTAGGAACTGGCTTGAATTATTTTTTGATAATGAAATGGATATTCGGAAAGAAGAATCAAACATAGCTTATTCAAGTTCACAAATTGGTCAACGAATAACAGATGGAAGTATCTATCCAAAAATTGGTAAAGATAGAGTTCTTTTGGCAAATATAGAAGTCAAACCTGAGCCTGGTATGAATGGCAGTTGTTATATTCAAAATGATGCTTATTATAAGGAATTTGTAATCAAATCTCGGAAGCAAGAATCTGTGTTTTATTATATGACCTGTCTGCCTGCTTTTCTTATTAATTTAGAAGGTTTGTATATCCTTTTTATTTTATTACCATTAGTTCAGATATATACTAACTTTAATTTTAAAAATACAGGACCTAATGTATCGATATCTGGAGCTGTTTCTGTTCCTTTCATTGTGTGTGACCATCTTACAGACATTTTCCCACTGGATACAATTACTTATAATCATACTAAAGCAGATGATGTCGCACAAATATTTCTGGCTTTAAAAAAGTGTTTATATATTTTGAAAGAATATTATAATTCTGTTTATGAGTCAAACATGAATCCTTTTGAAACTATTGCCAATCGTGATCATTTATTTCCATGCATCAATAAGGTTAATTTAGAAGAAGGAACAGTTATCATCAAATACAAAGAAAGATATTCTATAAATCGAAATTTATGGATGGTAGAAATCCAATTTGGAGACAAAAAAGCTAAGGGTTTGGTCAAATTCACCCAAGAATATTCTGGAGAAGCACATGGAAAATGTTTTGAACTAGGTTTAGCACTCAAATTATGGGCAGTCAATAGCCTTCAACTAGGCTGGAAGATTGTTATCATGGAATACCTGGAAGAATATAAAACACTACATGCTCTTGATTCAAGAATATTTCCTCAAACAGAAAATGCTGTTAGAAATGCTGTAAAATTACTTCATGACTCTGATTATGTACATGGAAATTTTCGTGATGAGAACATCATGGCTAAATATGAAAATGGAGAAGTTGATATTAAAATTGTGGACTTTGATTTGGCAGGAAGGGAGGGGAGGGCAAAATATCCTGAAAGTTTAAATCCTACTATTAATTGGCATCTGGATGTTGGTTGGCATAAGTTCATCAAAAAAGAACATGATAAACATTTAATTGATTATATTTATCACAATATAACATATGAACCCTCAAAAAAGCGACAGTGTCTCTCAGAATGGATGAATTAGCCATGTAAAAATTTTTAATAGAACTAACTTTAGATATTCATATCATTTGACAATTTTTCTTTATTTATTATATTATATTCATCTAAGCAGATCTGATAATTTATGTAAATTTCTTTTTTAAGATTTTAAAATATAATAAGTTAAAAGTGATTCATTTGACTAAAAAATTTAGTAATATAAAATTAATGGGAAGAAATGCATATCAAATTAGAAGAATATGTTTTACATTTGCAGAAAACAATAAAAATTTGTACAATTTAAGGGTAGAGACCTCCTTATAAATGATTTTCATCATAGAAAATGTCCACAAAATTTAATGATCTGCACTACATTTCAATACAATATTTATAGTAAATAGCAAAATTATTAATAAAAATATTTATTTTTGTTGAGAACAAAATAACGTTTCCCAATTTTCTTGCATTATCACTGCAGTAGCACCTTCGATTGAAAGATCCACCTGTATATTAGGTAGATTCGATGGCTTAACACATTATGCACTGTATTAAGATTATTTTTCATATTTAATATACTATAATCAGATGGTAACTTGGAGTTAATGAATAAATATGCGGAGATTGTATTTTTTATATTTAATTTACACAATATCATTACTTATTACATACTGATATTGTTGTTATTATTATATTCTTAGATAATTTAATTTGAACAAAAATCAAACAAAAATATTGGAGTTGATGAATAAATATGTGACAAGATTGTATTTTTTATATTTAATTGTTTTATTAAATCATTTTTTCATGATATTATTATTAATTGCATATTGATGATTTAATTTAGTCAAAAGTTGATACTTGGAGTTATAGCAAGATTATATTTTATTGTTTTTTTATTACATACTATCTTGTGATATTTTTAGATGATTCAATATATACAAAATCAAGTTTCAATTATAGAGCTGGCAGATAAATATGAGGTGAAGACTACAATCTTATATTTGATTATTAATCGTTTTACACATCATACTATACATGAAGTTAATGGTTGAAATTATGTCATATCACATGAGAACCAGTGATCCAACTTTAATGAACACGGCTTATTAGAATAGTATCATAAAGGTGATAAATTTTTCTAAAGAATTATTAGTTTGCATGTATTGTATCCACTGTGGAATCCTAAAATAAATAAATAAAAATATTAACAAAATATTATATATTTATTTGCTTATTATTATATTAATTATTACTAAAACATATGTATAAAATAAAAACTAGGGAATTAAA